AGGAATTACTATTATTAAACCTAATTATGCATCGAGATTTGAGTCCTTTCTTCTATTATTGCGGAAGTATTTCTTGCACTTCCATGTCTTTCATGCGCAGAGGCAACTTGAAAAATGCCTGAGAATCACCTAGCACAAGAATACCAGAGATCTATGTTAGTCTGTAGCCCTTTTAAGTTTGCTCGTGTTTTTTTCTTTAAATTTCTCTTGGGATACATCTTAACATAATTTGTTTTTTTTGGGATTCGTGGTGGTTTAAATTTTCCAGATATTCAGGACCGATCTTTTCGTTCTCTCATACGTTAAATCCTTCTGTTATTGGGTATATGTGAGCTTCAAGTGTTCTCTTGAAAAAAGACTGCAAGAATTATAATTTTTTATGTGGATTTAGCAAACTAATATATCTTCAACATATGTTGAGCTTGCATCAGATAGATGGGTTGGGCGAGCTAGGAGCGGATGGAGCTGCCAGGGCACAGAATTGATGAGTCAGTGGCTGCTGTAAAGAAGGAAGAGGAACAAGGAAAAGGTATTGCTTTGGAAATGGATCAGTGGCATGTGAAGGAGAAATCATTAGGGATCTTGCTAAGGGAAGGATTAATGGGTGTTAGGCACGTGAAGAGTAAGATGTGGGGTGTACAATTTCTGGACGACCCGAAACCCGGACCCGAAAAATTCACAGGTTCGGGCTAGAACCTGTTTATGAAACGGTTGGGTCCGCGGTTCAAGATTTTTCGACCGTTTGAAAAAAGGGCTCGGCTTTCGGGTTGACCGACAAAGCCGCGGGTCGTCGGACCGTTTAACCCGGATCAGATGACCTAAACCCGGTTTTCCGACTCTACTCGCGCGGAGCTGTCGCCGTCTCGCGGTTAAACCAATCAAGCCCCGCCTCTCCATCGGGCGATGAGTCCACCCCCACCTGCCTAGCGGAGCCGACTATGCAGGGGACCAGCCTCCCGCTAGGCTCAGTTGACCCGCCAGGAGCCCCAGAGAGTGCAGCGGATGCCCAGGCCCTATGCTTCTTGGCGGTCCGCCTTTCGCCATTTGCCACGCAACGACCGCTAGCCAAGTCGCCATTCGTCTTAATTGTTGCACACTCACAACTGTGGCTCTGCGGGTGTGCGGGTCGGGATTCGGGGTTCAACCCGCAACCGTGTGTTCAGTTTCGGGTTTTAGGATTCTTGACACCTACCCATTTAGCTAAACGGGTTAGCCTCGTTTGCCCGGTAAGTCGGGTTCGACACACGAAACCGTACCCGAACCCGACCCGTTGACCCGAGATGAACCCTAAAAGATGTCATGTGGTGCGGTATTTTTTTGGCGGAGTCCGGATGGGAGAAACCCATCAGATTTGTATTGAGGTCATTTTGATGCAGTATTTATAATTATTCAATGTGAGTAATTATCGATATTTGCTAAGTATGCTCACAATTTGCTAGACTATTTACTGAAGTATGGTTGCTATCTTGCTGAATTATTTTTGCTATTTAAAATTACTCTCTGATAATATTTAACAATATCGGATGTTCTCCCGTACCGATTCCCGCGTTAAGTAATTTCTCAGTTGTAGGGACATTACGTGGTTATTCTGGATTACTCAATCTAGAGCGGTTTGCCGGAACACTAAACATTATGTGGCGAATTTCAAATCTTATAAATATTAAAAAAAAATTAGCAACAAAAGTATTGAGTTCAGAAAACTCTCACCTTTGTATGCGCACACTCAGGTTTCCATCGGAGGCATTTATTACTTTATTATTCTATACAGTAATTTTTTATATAAAATTATTATTTAAATAAATGTACAAAATTTTATTTTATGACAACCAAAAAGCCAGTCACATATATTTGTCTAAACCAAATGTCTTTAATCTCATCCAAATATGCCAAAATAAATGGTTCATCAGTAGTTTTTTTTTTTAAGGGTTTAGGTTTAGGTTTAGGGTTTAGAGGTTTGGTCTAATATTCACGTATATAAGAAGAAATCAAGGAAGAAATAATTAGAAAGTTTATTAGAAAAAGATGGTCAATTTGATGAGTTAAAGTGACGAGAGGAATTAGGAAAGAATTATTTAAGGACAATATTGCATATTTAATTCATATTGTGGAAGAATAGGAACGGGTTTATTTAGGAAAATGGACCAGATTTGAATTCAAATTTGGAGCAGATATTAGAAAGCTTTATTAAGGGAAAATTGCTAATTTGAATTCTCAAATGTTTGTAGAGAAATATGATGGTTTGATTTAGTAATTATGTTGTTTTCACTTTTTATTATGGATTATGCGTGTGTGTGTATTCTTCTAGAAGTTCGTCAATTATAATGCAGGTGTTGTCAATTATTTGGATGATTGCATAGTTCAATTATGTTTGACTCTAAAGGATATTTGTATTCCTTCTTATGTCTTATAAAATAGTAGTTGTTTTGGCATGCTTTTTAAAGTAGAGTACAAGGAAAATTTTTGGAAAGAAATCTGTGGATTTTCTTGGAAGAGCTTGAGAGCTTCTTCGCTATCTCTTCGTGAGACTTCTGTGAGTTCGCTTTCACCTTTCTTCTGTCTGGCTTCTAATCCTTTGCGTCTTTCCGCTATAGTACCGCTTCCATCTTGTATCCTTCCATCAGTAATATTTTAGTAAAAAAAAGAGTATGTTAAATTGAATTTTTTTAATTAAAAATATTAATGATGTTTTGGTTCTAGTATTAGGATGGTTTTTTTATTATTTTTAAAATAGTTTTATTATTATAAAAATTTGTTTTAAGAACTTAGAGAAATTTATTCCATATGCACAAATTTAGTTGCGTATGATATGTGCGGGTAAAATGCCTAAGACATTTTGCATATGGAGAAGGGCAGTGCTTTAGTCTCTCTAATGTTTGCATTAGTTAACACAACTAACTAAAAAATTGTTGCATTTTTAATGCCAGTACTGTTTAGTGTTATTTTTATTATGGTTTTTATTTGGTTGGCGTTGAGATTTTGGTGTTAAAAAGAAGTAAGAAAGATTGATCTTATTTGGATAATTCTTACTGCTTATTCAAATTGATTTTGAGCTCTTATAAGTCTAAAACTCCCTACTAGAAACAATTGATTTTTCTAAGTTTTGTTCACTGTCCCTATTCATATAGTAGTTTGAGGGATGGGTCTGAGGACCAATTTCTTTCATATTTTAATTTTTTTAGAATTCTAATCAAAGTTTTATTTAAGTCATAAGTCAGAATAAACTACTTTCATAAAATAAGAATATTCATGTATCATATCGATATAATTTGCTTTTCCAGTATTTAAAAGTTAAATCTACAAGTTTGACTTGAAATTATAGGCTTCGTTGAGATCTGGCATTGTAAACGAGTCGAAGTCCGAGCGCCAGTAGCTTATTGAGTTAGCTCCTTGTAGTCTAATACTTTTATAAGACTCGGAAGGCTCATTTTAAGAGCTCATAATTCTATAAAACTCGCTGTATGAAAATCAGCTTGAACTTGACCTTTGATTATTGGAGCCGTTTCACAAAGCTTTGAGTTTGATCGATTGAAAAGTCGAACTTGACTCGTGTTATGAAGCTCAAATTTTGTTTATTCTTTAAAAAGTTCTTGAGAAAAGTGTATATGGAAAATATGTTAATTATATATTTAAAATCGATGTAAGCTCTACGAGACTACTGCGTAGGTCGAGTCAGATTAAAACTCGAGACTCAGCTTCTTAATAAACCAGTTGCTTACAAAGCTTTGAACTCTCATACCTTCGTAAGCTTGAACTCGCTGGAGCATCATTAAGTGAGTTGAGTTCAGCTGGCTGACGCTGCACTTGCACTCATTTGATGATGTTTAATCCTTATTTTTTATTAAATTTTCTAAGAAATTTTATACCTAAAAAGGTTTTGTATAGATAATAACGAAACTATATTAAATGAAGCTGAAATCATGTTTAATTCTACTCAAAATACTTTAAGTTGTTAGAACTTAAAATTTGTTATTTTAAACTCTATATGAAACTCACTCTTAGTTGCCTCAGATACCAATTTTGATGACATAAGCGTCCAATATAGAAAAAAATAAAAAAACAAGAATAAAATTTTAAGAATATAAATAAAGGATCCTCTATCTCATAGTTTTATTTGGATAGTTTTATCTAGAAAGTTATGAAATATAAAATTTGAGTGATAAATCCTATATTGAATTTTCTACTAAATTATATTTAACTGATATCCTAAAATTAACCATTATCAAATTCTGCTCAGCTGAGTATACCTGGTGCTTTGTTTTTCAGTCCACTTTAATATTTAGATGCATAGTCCCTATTTTATAGAGGAAGTGGATTGGTTCACTAACTATCGCACTTGATACAACAATAACAAGTCATAACACTCAAAATCCTTTCAATTAAGTTAAAATAATAATCAATTAATTTATTTAAATGAAATATATTTTTCATGTATATATTTTTAAGATATTTATATATTAAAATGTATATAAGTGAATATAAAATTTAGTAATAATTAGATATGTGAATACAGAAGAATTTTATGATATGTATATAAAATCCCTCTTATTAAATTTATATAATGTCATGTGATAATTAGCTAATAAATATAGTTCTATTCAAATTTCATATGAAAATAAAAGATAATAATAAAAAAATAAATATTTTCACTTTACTTTTTGAGGTATTACAGCAACCTCTCTCATCTTTTCCTCAACAAAATTCATAACGACAACAACATCAAGCATTTATCCCATCACACGAGATCGACTACGTAAATCCTTTTTCTGCATTATCCTATTAATTAATCAACAAAATTCAATCAAATAAATTTATCAGAATAAAACCAAGTCAAAATGGGACTCAAAATTATTGAATTTATTATTAGTATAATTTATAAGTAATTATTATTATTTATCTTAAAATAGATTTAAGAACTTGGAAACTCATACCAATTATATTTTTTTTCAAAAATAATTCTACAACTAATTTTACAAATCATTATAGTTTCCCAACATACATGTACAAAAAACACAAATATATTATGACTAACATCTTCACCATGATATATTGCATGATATGGTACATATTTTTCTAATAATTTTGCCAAATAGAAATGTTTTTTTTTTTTTTTATTCCAATAAAACTTACACCAAAATATACTTTTATATCCCTAAGTTCAAAGTAGAAATCTTTTTGATAAAATCATCATAGCTAGCATTGAAATCATCTAAACTGAAATCCTTAGGCAACATACCTTGGTAAGCCAGATGATCAACATGAAGCCTCACATTTGATGAAGCTGCAATCCACAATCTGACACTTACATCTGCATAAACATCTGCAACAATATCATACAAAGTTTTTGCTCCATTTTCAATGGCTCTTAGAATTTTGAATTCTCTCTCTCTTCTATGCTTTAGATATCCACATAGCATCCTTTGAGGCCATAAATTGATTCTCCCATGCATGGGGATCAAAACGCTTGGTTTAAGATCCAAGAAATTGTAAGTTGTTTGAAAATAATCCTTCATATTTCCACCACTTGTGATGTCAAGAACAGCACTTCCTTGACCAACACAATGATCACCTACTATGAGAGATTTTGAATTCAAATGGAGAAGGGCATTGTGGCCATCAGTATGTCCAGGTGAAAAAACTGCTTCCAGTTTTTTATTGCCTATCTGTATCTTCTCGCCGCCGGAAATCGCAAGAGATTCATGAGACCAATTTGCTTTATCGATTCGCCGCAAAGTATTCTCATGAGCCAACAAAATAGCATCAGGGTTGCATTTATTGATAACTGAAAGACCATCAACATGATCATAATGATGATGAGTGAGAAAAACAAGTAGTTTTCTGGGAAGAGCTTTAACAAGATCTTCCAGATCAGGGTGGTATTGAATAGAGCATCCAGGATCCACTAGAAGAGCATCTCCATATTTAATAATGTCAGAGTCCTCAGATTTACTGGTTTCATCCTCAGCTACAATTAGAACTAGATTTGTTGTTGAGAATGGTTTTTGTGTTCTACTCTTCATTGGTATAACCATGATGCCTGTAGGGTACTCTTGAATGGAATGACTGAGAAAGACGCTAGGCAGCTGCGGCTTTCTAGATTCATCTGGACCATCAAGAAGTCCAATGATTGTGAGAAGTCCAATTCGATCATCACTTGATGAGTTAGCGACACGATCTTTGGATATCCACTTACAAGAGTCTGAAAAATCTTCATCTCCCTGTGTCGGGGTTCCTAGAATAAAGAGTGTTTTAACAGGGGAGTCAGGTCCAAAGTCAGCTTCTTCTACATATTTCAACAAAGACCAGCTTCTGCAGATTGTTGCAACTCTTCCTACTTGAGATGCAATCTGAGCTAAAGCTGAGTCGATATTGAACGTTCTAAGATCGAGCTCATCGAGCAGAGCATCACCCCCAACAATCACTTCTTTTGACTGGTGTTCTCCTTCCAAAGGCTTCAGCGGGGCCGAAGGTAAGTCCCAGAGATTGGAGTCTACATAGTGTTGGTACTCATCCTCCTCCAATGCTGGTGGAGGATCTTGCTGGACCAAGAGGAATTCCTCACTGACGGAGCGCTTGATGGCAGCGGCAATCCGATAAGTGGCCATGGCGTTTGAGTTCTATCGTAAACCAACATAAATGACATGGCAAACAAAATATATGACAATATAGAATAGTCGGACTCTATGTTTACAAACAAAATTATAGAAGATAACACCAATAAAATTGATAGATGAACTTCAAATAGAATGATTATAAAGTATAACAAGACCAAAGGTAATATACATAGAAGATGTGAAAAAAAAAAACTTTGAATATATTAGAACTAAAACCTCAAGGCTCATAGAGCGCCTAACAGGATTATTAAATGAAGAATGAAGATTCATAAATCTACTTACAAATAATTATGCTAAGGCAAAGAATAATGATAGCATATAAACACAAATATAAATTATGAGCACTAGAATTAACTGGAGTAAAACCAAAATGCACATAAATGAAAACAAGTTTTTGAGATAAAAGTTTTAGAAATATAATAATATAAGCATCCAAATGATCAGAGTACAAAAATTTAAAAAACTGAAACTTAATTGAAATGTTGAATGCCATTCCAAAATGTTTATTTAGAGCAATTCTAGCTTCTTGTAGAAAGAATCAAATATTGGTAGATAGAGGAGAAGTTGCATTTGCCAATATCATGAACTGTGATCATAATATCATTTCTATCCGCTATCATAATATCATAAAAATAAAAGAAAGAGTGATACTACACTCCTCAAACAACTTTAAGAGTTTTTTTTTTAAGCAATTTATATGATATAGAAAAACAATCTATATTAACATTACTTTTGGATTAAAAAAAAGTAAATTTACTTGAGGAATGAAGCATGACTTTAAAAAAAAAAATTATGAGAACTAAGCCATCTAAAACATTTGATAATAATACTTTGTAATTTAGAAAGGATGAGCTTCATAAAATGATGGTTTCGCCAAGCCTAAAATTACTCTAATGACCCATATGGTTTCTTGTAGCAAAAAACAAGCTTTATAACATGATGATTTCCTCTTTACTCATTTTACATGTATGAAGGAATCATTAGAGGACAGTTTGAGAGATCTGTGAAACTTAAAAATCAATGTTGATTTTTTATTACATCCAACAAACTTATAGATCAAACACATATATTATGCTTTTCCAAGACATATTATTTAATTTCAAGCAACAAAATTAGCCCTAATTGCCTTCATTAATAAACATCTCTACTCTCAGGGGCTGTTTGGATGCAGGATTTAGGCTGGATTTAAAGCGGATTTGAGCTAAATCCAGCCAAGCGCCCAAAAATACAAAATCAAAGCTGCGGTTGACGGAAAAATCCCTCTTGTCGTGGTAAATCTCAGATTTACGATATCCTTTCGTTCAGCGGATTTACGGGATTTGGCCGAAGAAGCACGCGAAAGGGAGAAAGTTACCTTCACAGCAAGCGAGCTCCCGTTGTTGCTTCAGAACCAAAAAATGTCGTAACTTCTGATCCAACAAGAAGGGAACGTTGTTGGTGAGCAGAGCATATTGGTCTTCACATAGCGGTATTTCTCGTTTTTGTCAAGCAATACCTAGCAATACGCGAACATAGCAATTTCGGGTTCCGGTCCGGGTCGAGTCATCGGGCCGCGCGGTAAAAAGTAAGAAGGCGTGGCGAAATATTATTGGCGTATGAACGAGAGCTATGTCAGGTCACCTGACCTAATAATTGTTCCATGCGAAGGAACGAAGCCTAACGAAATCGAGAAGAGAAAAGTAAAAGCTAGACTCCTTTAAAAGTTTGTTGGATAATTTAATTAATATAATTTAAAATATTAATAATTAAGTGAAACTAATTAAATAATATTTCAATAATTAATTAAATTGTTGATAAAAATTATTAGTTAAATATTTAGTTATTTCAAAATAATTAATAGGATTAAATATGATTTTAAATAAAAATAATAATTAATAAAGTTTTGTTATGTTTTATTTAAACTTCTTCTGTTGTACTTTAATTATCCTAGCAATGCATGTCAAATCTTTTAACAACCTTAAATCCTGAATTAAATAGTCAAATAGTCACAAATGATTTAACAGGATTTTATCATGAATGTTACCAAACAATTTTCATCTAGATTTGGAGGATTTATGAAATCCTACTTAAACAAAATCCTGGGTGCTACCAAACAGACCCTCAATGTGTATTTGATCTCCAATAAAACAATACGCTTTGGTGACTATGACGTTGTTGGTGATTCTTCAAATCAAAACATCAAATGACTGAACAGTCCCCAAAAAAACCAAAAACAAAAAAATCAACTACTTTTAAAGTAAAAAAAAGGCAGAATTAAGTTGAAAATCCAGCTAAAAAATATCAAACAAATCTAGAACGCGAGGTGCAGCAGAGCGTGATGCCCTATTTCAGATCGTAGTCCAACTGATCGACGAAAATAAGTGAAAAAATAAGTAATAATTAAAATGAGGAAGAATATCGCGAAGAGCTTACCTGCTGAACCCTAGAGATTCTCGCGCTTGGGTTAGAACTGTGATTTGGGAAGCAGGTGGCCGAAATTTTTATTACCAAGGTCGCGTTTGGTTGGTCATAATGGACTTTTCCCCTGTCATAAAAGAAAATGGAATTTATATTTATTTATATTATATTCAAGTTTAACTTATATAAATATAAAAATTAAATTCTTTTAGATAACTTGATATTAATGATCCTTTAATAGAACTTAAATGTTAATATATTATATAAATAATCATAAATTTTAAATAAAAATAAATAAATACATAAAAATTCTATGATGTATAAAAAACTCCTTTCTTTTCTCGATCATGACACCAACAGTAGGTGATCAACGTATTTGTTGTCACCGTCATCGTCTGTCAGCCACCAGCCACTACTATCATTATACTATGTAGGCAAACAAGTAGTAAAAAATAATTTGAATTTTTTATATTATTAAGCCACATAAATATTGAAAGAACGATATATAATCACTTTTGATGGTGTATGAATTAACCGAAGGCAACTAACTATGGACTCCTTACTACAATCTTCTGATTACCATCATCTAATATGATCATTCAACCATCATCACTCATAATTAATAGTCCTCAAATCACTATTATTCGATTATAGTCATCTAACTGCCATCGCACGACAGTGATCCCCAATCATCATTGTGATTATGATCTTCCAATAATTGTAACCCTGCTTCAATTCCTCCAAATATTATTGCTTGACTATGCTCATCTAATCATAATGGCCCTATCATAGCCTTTTGACCACCACTACTTAATTATAGATTTTGTAGCATCATATCTCGACTATAGTTCCCTTACCACCATCTCTCAGTGTTAATTAAACATCATGGTCACCCAACTTCGGTATTCTGGCCGCTATAATCAAACTTTGGTCATATGATTATCAGTCTTTCTATGATATTCTAAGAACATTTTGTAATTACATTTTTGCAATCATTGTCCCCCAAGTACATTCATATAACCCGGCAGCTATACTACACGAACACTCTATGTTTTAGTCACCCAAAATCACTAACAACATCAATGCATGCCATCTCGTTATTAAGTTGATACACTCCATCGACAATGTCAATGATTCATAACTTCATCGTGTCATGCCACAAAATTTAATTTGGAAGAATTTTTTCTTTAATCTTTTATTAGACAATAACGATATCTATCTAATTTTAGTTAATATAAACTAGCAACAAAAATTATTCTATTAATAAAAACATCAATAATATATGCATTCATTTCTCACAAATCATATACAATATTCATGAATTATAATCATGACATGTCTTTCCCATCATGAGTACAAAAGAATCACTACAAAAATAGAAAGAAATAAAATAACAATAAACCTAGAGAATTCTAATCAATATCACACTCTTGATTCTCTGCCCTAATATAAAATCATTGAAACGATATATAATGAGCTAAAAAACACAACATGTCACTAAATCCTACAACTAAACTCAAAGCATGATAAAAAATCAATATGCATATCGTTAGTTAATTCATAATAGTAGCAATTATTACGAACATGAATATGTGGAGTGCATAAATGGTAAAATATGTAAAACAATAGAAAAATCAGGTATGTAAACCAATAAAATTAGAAATAATAAACTAGTAAACATGTAAGCTAATAAATCATCAACTCATTATGAAGATCAAATCAAATAAATAATGGGAAAATCACGTAAATCAATAACCAGAAATATCTCGAAAACAGTCAGAATTCATAATTGTGCAGTATAATATAATCAATATATACATGAAATTAAATTATTTTATATTAGCATCCAATTAATATCTTATATCACTTGATTAATATCACTTACTCAGTATAGGAATCACGTACCCATTATCAGCAGATTAGTAAATACCGAATCAATGGTAGCAACAGTGACATTGAATTAGTGACAATAATAATATCAATATTCGTAAAATCGATGACATTAATAGTAAACAATATCATGGTAATATAATAGTAATATGTAGAATAGTGAAATAGTATGGTGATGCCAGTGTGGTAACAGTAAATCAATACAATAACTATTAGGACGAACATTAATAATGAATTAATAACATGCATTTCAATGATCATATTCAATATTATTCAACAAATCATATATATTAGAGTGCAGCACCGAAGCGCCAGTGCACCACTACCAGCGCCACAGCACTGCATATTGAATCCAACATTATTGTAGAGCAGAGTCTCAAATGCTGCAACAATATTTTCTGGAGCTATTGTGCCCTCGACCTTGGGCTGCAGTGCTCGAAGGCACAGTGACGTTATGCTTTAGTTCAAACAAGAATTCATGTTTTCATTTTAAAACTATTTTTAAAAATTATGAGTCATTACAAATCACATGTTGTCACCAATTATATTGACCCATGTCATCAACAATAATGTTATGCACGAAGTTGTCATAAAAAAGTCAACTTCATCGACTTCTTTGGCACCAACATCTTATAAAACTAATGCACGCCACCAACACAAGCTCTAACTTAAAGACTTTGACATCAAGACTTATGGTGAACTTCTTAGTTTATATCCATCATTCAAAAACAAAAAAAATAATTATATAACAAACAAACTCTTGAAAACAGTTTGTACGTCATAAGACTCTTTCAACTTCTACCACAAAATCAGTTTAATATAATTTATACCTACTATATTATACACACACCTTCTCTAATTATAGAGAAGTGCATCATTTATAATTCATGATATAAGCTAGTTGAATTATTACAACATCATCAAAGCTCATAATTGTTCTCATTCTAAAATTTTCATATAACAATTTTGATCTCTTGCAACTCTCTTATGTGTGCTAACCTAAATATATATATATATATATATTTGTATAAAACTAAGTTGTTAAATATTTTCTCATCATCATTGTGAATCTACTAACACTAAACAAACATAAATACATATTGTATAGAGTTATGTGAATTATTGTCTTGATGTATTAGTTTAATCACCTGAAGCTAAATGGGCTAAATATCAATATAGATGAGATGAAATTTGATGAATTACAATATTACCCATAAATCCATAATGTTTCACATTGGCCCAAAAGTTGTGTTTTTAAGTAAATTTAAATTTTTTTTGAGACATTTAGATTAATTAATACACATATAACATACTCAAGATTCTAACTCAAAGATTTTTAATTGACGGCCAAAGCTCTCAATCAAAATTAAGTAGAGCTGCTTAGTAAATTTAAATTCAATTCATGCCGGCGGCGTGCATGCCACGGAGTACAAAATAAGGGTTTTGTTTTAATTTTTAAATTTGCGAGTCGAATACGATGCCTCTACTGCTCTGGTTCCCGCCCGCCGCCGCCGTTTCTACCGTTTTTGCCGCTTCATCGGTCACAAAAGTCGGCCACCTCCACTGCTCTCAAAGCCGGCGTCTTTGCTGCCGCCGTCCAGTTAGTCTTCCTTCTCCACCCCTCGCCCAACCTCCGCTTCCGTTCCCGTTCCATTACTTTTTCTTACCCACCTTCTCCGCCAGGACGGTGTTTCCTTACCCCGCTTTCGTGGTATTTTTTCCTTCGCCGGGAGAAGAATCATAAGGCCCATGGCAACGGCCGACCCTGATACTCAGACTCAGACTTCCAGTCTGTCAACTGGTATAAACTCTGATTCTTTGTCCCTCGCTCTTAATAGTGAGAAAAGATTACAAATTGATGATAAAGTTGTCATCTTTACGGCTCGTTAGAGTTTATTTTTTTATTTTTTGTATGTTTGATAGCTCGGAAGCAGGCATTGATATCTCTTTCGGACAAGAAAGATCTCGATTTACTTGGAAGAGGGCTACAAGAACTAGGGTGAGCTCGTTTGTTATTGTTGGCATTGCAACGATTGCTCTTTGGAATCCCTTATTTGGTGGTGTTCTTCTTTCTTTTATTTACTTGTAAATATGTTACTGAGGTAGCATTGGAAGGGAATAAATATAGTTTTTTTTTCACTATTTTCATTGTTGGATGGTAGAATTGTATGTTAAAATGTGGAGCTGTTTGGAAACATGTAGAACTTTGACATCTAAGTTATAATATGTTGTCTAGTTGTGGGCACTTTATATATTTTTTTGCTTTCTTTGTGTATCAATCGTTCTTCATGTTTCTTGCTAGGATTGCTCACTTAATTTTTATTGGTATGATTTGACAAACTAAGATTATACTACTTATCGTTGTGGATTTGGCTTCATGAGGATTACATGATTTCAGGTATGCTATTATTTCGACTGGTGGAACAGCAAAAGCTCTGGAGCAGGCTGGGATTACAGTGACTAAAGTTGAAGAAATTACTTCCTTTCCAGAGATGGTGATTTTCTTTGAACCCTCTTTGGGTTATCTTTTCTATCCAAAAAAACTAATTGCAAAATTTGTTTGAAATGTTGGGGCAACTAAGTGATGGGAAAGAATTTGTAATGTTATAACCATCGTCACCAATTCATTCTTCAGCTTCTTATTGACTTTATGGGCTGGGTTTCTCAATCCCTTTTTTAGATCATTTCATTTTTCAAGTCTCGTATATCTAGCATAGAGAGATGTCATTCACTAAGAACTTCTAGCAATATTAACTTTGTTTGGGTCCCATACTTTCCTAGCCTTTTTTATGAATTATAGATATCATCTTTTATTGAAAGTGATCAAATCATCTCAAGCTAAGGACTTATTTTGTTTTACCAAAAAAATATAAATTTAAGGGCAATAAAAGCATATGGCACTAATAGCATATGGTCTTCAAAGCAGCAGAAAGCGCCACTAGGATTTTGACCTGTTGAAGATTTTGAAGCGGCGCACTTGCTTTCCAACTAAAAATTATGAACTTTAGTACTAATTTTAATCATCAGTCATGCAAAATGGTAGAAGGTATAAAACTTGGATTATTTTTTTGTAAAAATGGAAAAAAAAGCTGATATAGGAGTATATTTTTCTTGCATAATCTGTTGTGTATTTTGGCAAGAAAACTAATCATTGTAACCTTGCAGTCATAGACAGTTTTTTTTTGTATATGTAAAATTCACATTAAGAGTCTCTTTTCACCTTTTTGACAAAACATATCCAGTAAACTTGTTCGTAAAATTTGAAATTCATAAACATAATAATGTCGGAATGAGGAATTTTATTTTTCTATCTGCATATGTGCTTTTCATGCAATTAACATACCTGAAATCTTGTGATTCTGTTCAATGATTATGTCTATCATCAAGCAAACAACCGGTCTTATGGATGTAAATAAATTACCTTCTAAACGCTTCAGTAAATGAAATTCTGAAGTTCATATTTTGCAAGGATCTAGATGCAAAAATCTGTATACTGACTTTCTCTTTCTGTACAAATAAAAGCAGGAGTGCTACTTTTGGAGTTCATATTAGAAAATTTTGAGTTGCTTGCTGAGATTAAGTGGCAGTATGCTGAGAAACTTTTCAGAACCAAGGCTGTTAAATTTACTTGTTATAAATAAGTTTTGATAGAATTTTTGGTTTATGTAGCTTGATGGTAGAGTAAAGACTTTACATCCAAATATACATGGTGGCATTCTTGCTAGAAGGAACCATGATCACCACATGGAAGCTTTAAATGAGCATGGGATTGGTGAGTTTCAACATGAAGGAGCAGTAATTTGTTCACCTAATGCATTCTCATAATTGTTTGAATGTTAGTGCTATAGCAAATACACACAGAGGATATAGTATGTATTCATCTATTCATGTATATTTTCATTTCTGTTTATGTATATTAAATATATTTGGTACAGGGACATTTGATATTGTCGTCGTGAACCTTTATCCCTTTTATTCAAAAGTTACATCAGCAAGTGGAGTAACATTTGAGGATGGCATTGAGAATATTGACATTGGTGGACCAACATTAATCCGTGCTGCTGCCAAGGTCTTTATGTTGGATAGAATACCATCATGAAGTCATTTGAGTTTTACCTTTTTTATTGAATTTACTTGTTTGCACAGAATCACATGGATGTTTTGGTTGTAGTAGATCCTAAGGACTACCCTTCCCTTCTAGAATTTCTGCAAGGAAAAGAAGATAATCTGCAGTTTCGTAGGCAACTTGCCTGGAAAGCTTTTCAATATGTTGCTTCCTATGATTCAGCTGTTTCAGAGTGGCTTTGGAAGCAATCTCCACAAGGTATCAACTGGAATAATTCTTCTTTTATTCTAATCTTCTTACATATTTAACAAACTTTCATTTGCATATTTCCTTGTTTAGGCAAATTTCCCCCCAGCCTTACAGTGCCACTTACAATGAAGTGTACGCTTCGGTATGGGGAAAATCCTCATCAAAAGGCTGTATTTTATGATGACAAAAGTCTCTCTCTGGTAAATGCTGGTGGTATTGGAACTGCTATCCAACATCATGGAAAGGTGAAACGTCTTTAAGTTACATGTTTTGTTGATTTTCTGATGATTTTAATATTAAAGTTTTGTAAATGTTCTATGTTTTCATTTGTGTTGGACCACTATTCAAAAAAGTATTGAGTGAAAAGGGTGTTGTTAGTGATCAATGAAATATGAACGGGTGAAAGCAGTGGTAAATGGTCTAGAAGGATATGATGGTGGCGGCGATTGATGATGTAGTTAAAGGCAACTATTGGGGAGGAAATAGTTGGTTTTGGTATTGTTGTTGTTGTAGAGAGGTCATGGTGTCAATTAGGGAAGGGTGTTGGAAAGTGGCAGTGCTTGCTTTAAACTGATTTTCAGAAAGAAAAAGTACCTAAATGGTTTCTTTTTAAGGAATTTTTTCCTCATCATTTAGAGATTTTATTAATCAAAGGGACTAAAATGCCAGTTTAAAGAAGATATATTAGCTATAAAACTGATTTCTGAAATCAGGGAATTTGATTTTAGATCTGAATAACTTGCTAGGGTCAGGCCAAAATAAAAAATATATTAAACATTTATTTGGAAATAATAACCTTGATGGAATTTATATGCTGGATAAGATGAGTGAAAAAAATGGAGTTGATTGAGGAAGTGCAGGCTCTTATTCTGTGAAAACTTGGTTTTTGAGTTTTGGATGGGTTTGAGTTACTGTAACTTTGTTATAAATAGTTTAGATGTATGGCTTCAGCTTTTTGATCTCCTGAAATTACCTATTTGTTCATTGCAAAGCATTATTGATATTCATTGTGGTTTTGTTTGGGACATATTTTTTTGACCGCTTTGAGGTGGAAAAGTAAACAACAAAAAATAATGGCCATTTGGATTACAACTTTTTTAAAATTTTCCAAAATTTTGTTTAAGGGAATCTACCTTTGAGAAAGCATAATTGAAATTATGATTGAGAAAGTAGCTTTCCTGTTAAGTGCTTTTTAAGTTAAAACAATTAATAATTAGTATGTCAACAGGTTGCAGCTGAAGAAACATCTACATACTCTGTGTTTCATGTTGCATGTTGTGCATGAAGGGATTACTTTCTTGTGTATTCTCTTTGTAAGCTATCTAATTATGTGCGGAGTCCGGATATAGAGCTACATCCGGACTTCAATCAAATGACGATATGTGGATAATACATACTGTGTATTAGCGGTGTATTAGTTGTGTATTGATGTGTATTAGCTAGTACACACTGTGTATTATAATACACATTGTGTACTAGCTATGTATTAGCTGTGTATTGATGTGTATTAGTTGTGTATTATAATACACTGTATGTACTAGTCAATACATAGATAATGCACACCAATGCACCGCTAATACACAATGCTTATTAGCCACTTGTCATCATTTGATTTGAGCCGGATGTAGCTCTATGTCCGGACTCTGCACGTAATAATTTCTCTATTGTGAGATACCCATGTTCTATATCATATGTTATTGCAAGTAATTTGGGTTAAAATTTCTGTTTTCACTTTTAATGCTATTTGCTACTTGATGTGAATCAGATTACTGATGATGGTCAAAATTGACTTTATAGAGTTATTTTGATGTAGGAAATGTCTTACAATAATTACTTAGATGCGGATGCTGCTTGGAACTGTGTCTCAGATTTCCAAAGGCCTACATGTGTGATTGTAAAGCATACAAATCCATGTGGTGTAGCATCACGGGAAGACATCCTCGAAGCTTATAGACTAGCCGTGAAAGCAGATCCAGTTAGTGCATTTGGTGGAATAGTTGCCTTCAACACAATCATAGATGAGGTATTCAGTCCTTTTGAAACCCATATGATCATCTTCACCATCATTAACAGATTGTTTGCCTTATCCCTACTATTTGGGTTTGATTTTATGTATCCTCATTCTCCATTTATTTGTGTTTAGCTTTGTATTAGGAGTTAAACTTATTCTACATAATTCTTTTTGCACACTATTCTTGTTACCTTTTTTCAGCCACTGCATCCTAACCATTCAATATTAATTAAACTATCCAAGCTTATGTTTTATATCTAATCTTTCGTAGATGTTGCTCCTTCCATCTATTCAGCACAATCATTTCCCAATCTAACATTTTAAATTTCCCACACATTTATCTAATCATTCTTATTTTTTTGGTCATGCTTAATTTGTCTATTAGTGACTTTTTAACCACCAATATAGATGATCTATTTGCTATTTTATAAAATTTATCTTTAATTCTTGATGATATTCTCTTATTTCATGGTAATTTAATGCACTTCTCCTTTATAATCTTCCAAACTTAACTCAAGAAGTTAAGGATTGACATTAGTTGATAGGCAAGAAACAAAATTTTTATCAAGATTCTTCATCATAATCATCATTGGCCTTATCAAAATTGTATGGGGATGACTATTTAAACCTTTTTAAGTATTTGTATTTGTCTAACTGTAGTTTGTTATGCTGTTAGGATCTTGCAAAGGAAATCAGAGAGTTCAGAAGCCCAACAGATGGTCAAACAAGAATGTTTTATGAGATAGTAATTGCACCAAACTATACAGAAAAAGGGCTTGAGATCTTACGTGGCAAGTCGAAGAATCTGAGGATACTAGAGGCAAAAAGGACTCAGAAGGGAATGCTCTCGTTCAGACAAGTTAGTGGGGGTTGGTTAGCTCAAGACTCTGATGATTTAACGCCAGGAGAAATTGAATTTAAGGTTATGTCAGATAGGCCTCCCCAAGCAAATGAGTTGTCTGATGCACAGTTTGCCTGGCTCTGTGTAAAGCATGTGAAGAGCAATGCCATTGTCATAGCCAAGGTTGGTACATTACTTTGTAGCTCATTATCTATTTCTACTATAATTTCATATGGTTCTGAGCTTTGTTTTGACCAGCAAAAAATGCCAGAAAGTTTTACAGGTTAGCTTTAACAAGCATTTAAATTATTTTTTGCTAGTTGTTCATTACATGTAGATGAGAAATACCTTCCTGGTTGAATTCAGTTTGTTCGTATAATTCACAGCGGCAAATTTGAAAATATGCTAATAAGATTTGGTTGACTTTTAACCACAAATGCAGGTAACAAGTATTAATTCATACAAGTAAACATACCTAATAAATGAAAGATTAATATGTAATTACCATTATAATACTTGATGAATAGCTTGATACTAATTATCCATTTGTGTTTGTTTAATCACAATATTGAGATTTGAGAAATTCATTGTGGTAATGCTAAAGTGAAATGAATGTGTAAGCTAACTTAAGTTTTAACGGTTTGCTGGCTCCAAACAAAATGAATGATGAGTTTGGTCCTTTTCATTGCACATGGAAAGCAGTTCTTTTGTGCCCTCATTATCTTTGAGAGACCTCCAAACCATACCTCCCTCACTTCTTTAACAACAACAACAACAAAAACATCAAGCATTTGTCCCACTACATGGGGTCGGCTACATGAATCCTTTTAAGCCATTGTGTCATGTTAAAAGTCAAATTCTCATTTAAATCTAATAAAGAAAGATCATTCCTAATATTTTTTAACCAAGTATTTTTAGATCTACCTTTACCTTTCTTAACATAATTCAAATCTAATACCTCAACTTTCCTAACCGGGTCATCGGAAGGCCTCCGTTTAATGTGACCGAACCATCTAAGATGACTCTCTCTAATCTGATGTAAGCAAAAAATACAGGGAGCCTATATTTTGTGCTTAACAAAAACAGAGGCGGACTTCTACCGACGAAATTGGCTAATGATGAGAAAAGAGACGAACAAAATAGGGAAGAACAAACTCTTACATTTCAATTTAAACTAAACAAGTTAAAAAAAAACTATGACGACGACTTACAAACAACACGACATACACCATAAAGTTGCTGCACTTTGAGAAGAAGGATACAAGTGGAGCGGCACTTGCGGAGAGACGAAAGATATTAGAAGCCCGAGAAGAAAGGGTGGAAAGAGCCCGCAGGATTTCCAGAGGGGATGTGAAAAGAAGGTGGGAAAGAGCCCGCAGGATTTCCGAGCAACCCGCAGGTTAACAGATTTTCCAAAAATCAAATATCATTCACTTCTCTATTTCAAACAATACATAACCCCTCATTTTTATAGGTATGAAAGGGGAATACAAAAGGACACATACATAAATTCTAACACATAAAACTAAGCATTAAAAGCATGGGAATCTCCCCCCCAAGCTCTCGGTTTAACACCCAAACCAGGAACCAAGGAGACAGCCACGGGAGACGAAGGAACCGCACGGACCAAAGAGCCACGACCACGGGAAACGAAGGAACCGCACGAACCAAAGAGCCACGGTCACGGGAGAAGGAGCCCAGCCGTGAGATCCCAAGAGGCAAACATAAAAATCTTAAAACCTTGGTGGAAACCAAGGGGGTCATACATAGGAATACTAAACACCACACTTGGGATTCCAAAAGTCCCATTGGAAACCCAAAAGACTATAACATAAAAAGCCTAAAAACATTTAATTAAAAGATAATAAATAAACTAAAATGTTAGCTCATAATGAGCTAACCCTTAGTTCAATAAATGAACTAAAGTCCAGCTCATAAATGAACTAAAAGTTCAGCTCAAATATGATAAACTACTAGACTCAAGGGAAGCCAAAATTTGATTTATTTTGGACTAGTGTTGACCCCCCCCTTTGTCTACATCATAATCTTATCTTCCACTGGTGCTACTCTAACCTGTTCACGTATATGCTCATTTCGTATCCTATCTCTAAGGGTAAAGCCACTCATCCACCTAATCATCCTCATCTCTACAACACTTAACTTAGTATTATTCTTCTCTTTTAATGGCCACCTCCCTCACTTCTTGAAAAAGAAAGAAAAACCTTTACCTCGTAAATGATATGTGGTAGATTCTGATTTGAAAAAAAAAAATCTAGGAAAGCCTGATTCCTTCTAAGCGCCAGGATTGACGGTGGGAGCTTTTAGGTAGTTAAATTTGAAACTATGGCATCGCAAAAAAATAAGTCAACGGCAATGGAAAAGGGTCTTTTCCTGGACCCTTCGCCTTGATGCTCTTCTTTGTATTTTCATATTTGATATTTTCTTTATTTATTATAAGACTTGCATATGCTGTATCCCGTTCTGGTATAACACCAAAAGCCACATCAATATCTCTGGCAATGGGTAAATCCAATTTCATTCATGCAACTATTGATCCAAGAACAAGTGAGGATAGCTTCCATGAGTTAGTAGGAATATGCTTATACTAGGAATCAAGTTGGCCTCAAGAATAGAGTGGCGTGCCACTGTGTTTCTCTCTTATATTTGCAAAAACAATGGATTAACCAACATAAAACTGGAGCTCTTGCATTTCTACAGAATAGCTGCATGTTGGGGATGGGGAGTGGTCAGCCCAACAGGTTGGAGAGCTTAAGAATTGCTTTCAGGAAAGCTGGAGATGAGGCAAAAGGAGCTGCTTTGGCTAGTGACGCTTTCTTCCCCTTCGGTAAGTATTCTGGGATTTATTTTTGAAATATATGTTACTTTGCTTCAGTTACACCATCATAGCAATTGCTTAAATACCAAATTGTTATCTCTTGCGAATTACTGCATGTTTTTTCACTTCATTTCTTGTTTTGAATGATTACTTGTTATTTCATAATAAATATATTGATCGTTTCATGTGACATCAAGTATATTGTGGCATGCAACAAGACCTTTGCAGTAGCTCATCATCCGATGATGCTTCTCTGAAGGATTGAAATAAAGCATAGTTGTCTCATGGTTCTTAAATCAGCTTCGGGCATAAGACTAAGGCTTTGTTTGGGACGGCTTCTTTGCTGTTTTCTAAAACAATTTTCTAGTATAAAAATTTATTGAATTGAAAAATTTTGCATTAAAAAGCAGTTTTATAAAGTAGCACAAAGGTTTCCCAAACGAAGCCTAATTTAGGCCATTAGACTTGTCATCATGGTTATCTGACTCAACTATGATGTCATCATGAGGAGTTATTACATGTAATATTTTCTTTCCTGATATGATTTTAGACATGTTTTGTTCTCTCTCATTTATATGGCTCTTTCTCATGGCTATTCCTCCACCCCCTTCTTGTTTGACTCATACGATTGTGATGAGATTAAGTTTGTGCTAGCTTTCTCATTCTTCTCTTCCTCTAGATTAACATAATTCCTCTTATTCCCCGCCTCACTCCTCCCTTTGTACTATCTCTCTGTCTCTCTTCTCCTCATCCTCACATTACCCATTCTTTTTTCCCATTAATACTAGGGGTGTCAAAATAGGGTTTCGGGTCGGGTTCAGGTCGAACCCAAAACTGACCTGAATTCAAATGGGTCAACCCTAACCTGACCCGGGTATGTGAAAGGGTCGGAAATCTAGGCTTGAATCCTACCCATCGGGTTGCCGGGTTGACCCTATAACGACCCCAAGATCCGTGTAGCGAAAAGATTCCTCTGATCGATCATTCATTTCTTTTTTTTTTTTTATCCGTTGTTCGTATCAATACATACATCCAGAGCCAGAGATAATTACATTACAGAAAAGAAACAGCAGGGGGGGCGGCGAGCTGGACTGCGGGTGCGGACGTGAGCGGGCAGGGTACTGGCAGCCGCAAGCAGGCTTGGGCAACGCGGTCAGCTCATTTTAAACGGGTTTCCGGGTTGACCTGACAAGTGACAACCCATTGGGTCAACCCGAACTCGACCTATTTTTCAAACAGGTCGGGTTCGTCGAATCCGGGAACCCGAACCCGACTCGTTTTCAAATCAAGTTGGGTCTAACCCGAAATTCCGGGTCGGATTTACTTGTCGTGTCAAATATTGACACCCCTAATTAACACGACTCCACCAAGCTCAGTATAATCCCAAATGACCACCCTTCCAAACTCTTTTCACCTGAAATAAACCTAGCAAGGCACCCTTGCTTGTCTGAACCATCTCCTTTCTTTCCACCATAAATGGCTCAAAAAATACACGCAGATAAGAGTGTTTTGGTCCCCAATCAAATTGAAGAAAATATCAAATTGATATTAGAACATGGAGATCCCTTCATAACAAAGCTTGCTGCATTTCTTTTTTGGTTCTTGCTTGCAAGTTTTTTGCACGATGCTTCCCTCAAGCAATGAGTTGTTGTCCACACTTCTCATAAACTAACTATGTTTTCTGTAAATAGGTCCTTTGTCACTCGATATTATAACTTATGATAAAGCAGATTTAGGTTTCGTTTGGGACGGCTTTTTTACTGCTTCTCAAAAAGTTTTAGTACAAAAATAAATTAAAAAGCTGCTTTAAAAAGCAGTAAGAAAGCCATCCCAAACGAAACGTTAGTCATTGATTACTTCAATAAGTTTAAAGATGATGATTTTATTACTAGGGATGATGAACTAGTTGAATGGTCTACTTAGGCTATTGTTTTGTGATGCGGTTGGTGCCTCGTCATATCAAATATGTTGGCAAATGAGATTTTTATAGCTTTGAGAGGTTGCATTTTATACCTTCATGAGGTTATAACTGTGTTGATGATGATGATTATTGCAGCGAGTTGGTGAAATCGAAATCAACTACACATTATTTTTTTTAATACAACTACAACAACAATAACAAATATTTATCTCGTTGTGTTGGTGACATGAATCCTTTTTTTCAATCTCTCTTTTTGTTTAGTTTCCTTTTCTCTTTATTTCTAAAATGGCATATTTGGATCCTCATAATTTCCTGAATTCAATTAAAATTTTCATTTTTAGCTTTATTTTCATGTTTCCATAAATCTCAACCGTCAAGCAAGTAGAAAGAATATCCGTGGTCAAATATTTCGGGATGGAGGGAAGATTGACAACAACCAAAGGAAGAGGGTTTACCAAAGGGTCTCTGATGGATCGCTCGATTTGATTGGGAGGGAATTAGAAAGTTTCCAAATTAAGAGGGATCTGTTTAGAAAGGTTCTTAATTATTTTGGAAATTTTTAATTACAATTGAGAGGGAATTATTTAGGGTAAGATATTTAATTTGAATTTAAAATCTAAGAAGGAATTATTTATAGAAAGGGGGGAGAAATCAAGGGGATATTGTTTGGAAAGTTTTAATTACAATTGAGAGGGAATAATTTAGGACAAGCGATCTAGTTTGAATTCAAAATCTATAAGAGAATTATTTGGGAAAAGGGGGCTGGTTGGGAGGGAATTACCGAATTAGGGGAGCCTATTTAAGGCTAACTATGTTGTTGTTTTGAAGGAGGTGATTTGTGTTTGTTGTAGTCTTTTTTGAGAGGACTCTAGCTGATGACTAAGGATTTGGGAGAGTCAGATCTTCCTGTCCATTTGAAGATCCAACAATATCTTGCTATTTTCTTTCATATATATTGCAATAAAAAGAGTTATAGTGTGTTCTTCGTAATTTCGTATTGTCGTTTGCTGATTATGAGGAAATTGCATCCACTTCCTATTAGTCTCCATGTCATTCCCCAGAATATTGAAACTAGCACTGTAGAGTTGGTTAATAGAATGAATATGTTCATATTCGACATGAAAAAGCATCCCAATTCCACTAACAGTGTGAAGATCATAAATTTCAATTCACCAATAATAATATTTTTTATTAAAAGAGGCACACAATTTTTCATCCCATTTGTTTACGTAGACAGAAAATTCATCGAACTTCATAACTCTCCAAACAAGAGAATACTCAATGAAATAATGATACCAATCACTATTCCAAAACCATTTGAGAGCTTTGATAAGACCATCTTTTATGAATCATGATTCTAGCATCAGAGGCATTTGTCCTAAAGAATTTCAGTTCTTTTTAATCCTCTTCTACTTAATGTGGCAAAGGCATATTAATATTATAGATCTCTTTTCTGGAAGAAGTAGGACAAGATTGAAGTCCAAGGTCGGAGGTTGGAATCGGGAGAGGAAGTGTCGGGAGCAGAGGTTTCTGCGTGTGGAGTCGGAGGAGGGGAGCAGGGCTTCTATTTAACGACGCGAACAGGCGACAATCGAGGAGCTGCCACGGGATTTGCGGGATCAGACGCGAACGGCGCCCAATTCAGCGGGATATCTGCTGATTTTTTGGACTTCCTCGATAGATACGAGGTGAGCTGCTTTCTTTTTGTTCTTTACCCGTAGGTCAACAGCATTTAACCTAAAGAATTTCAGTTCTTTTTAATCCTCTTCTACTTAATGTGGCAAAGGCATATTAATATTATAGATCTCTTTTCTGGAAGTAGGACAAGATTGAAGTCCATGACCAAATTTCATTTACAACAATAACAAATTACTCCATTGCCACATTATTTGGCAAAAATTCCCTTTTCCACGCATTTGAAATAAGTAGGAGCAAAACTCCTTGCCAAGCCTCTAGGAGGTGATATAAAATGAGCACCAATTGAGAGACCAAGATTTCGTTTGGGACGGTTTTCTATTTCTTAAAGTAGTAGAAAGCCGTCTCAAACGAGGCCTTGGAATGATTTTTTTACTGCTTTCTAAAATAGTTTTTTAATACTAAAAAGTTAGTTTAAAAGCAACAAGAAAGCTATTCCAAATAAAGTCTAAATAGATGTTGTACCAGTTTGAAAATTACTATTCAACTTTTCATGGAAGAAAAAAAATCTATGATACCCATAGTTTAGAAAAACTCAGCTTTTTTTCTCAGAACATTTCTATAGCTAATTTTAGTCGCCTAAAATGGAATCTTAGGATGAAGAACAAAGCCCTTACCTCCATGTCTTCCCTCCCAGCAGATATAGCCTCCATAGATATCATCTGTAATTGGTTATTTGTGCAAAATCATTACTCATCTTATTCTTATATTTCTAAGCTCCACTTAAAATTTATCCAACCTTGGCTTGTTGATAGCTTTTTCAAGTGATTAAGGCTTCGTTTGGGACGGCTTTCTTCCTGCTTCTTAAAGCAACTTTTAAGTACAAAAATTAAAACTTTTGTATTAAAAAACTGCTTTAAGAAGCAGTAAGAAAGCCGTCCCAAACGAAGCCTAAAAGAAAACATCTACACATCCATAGAACAATCATATTTAATATATTTTACATATATTTGTACATAAATTTGACTATATTTCCAAGTATTACATTATCAATATCTGAACAGCATGGAATGATGCTGTGGAAGAGGCTTGCCAGAATGGCGTTGGGGTCATTGCAGAACCTGGAGGAAGCATCAGAGATGCAGATGCAGTAGATTGTTGCAATAAATATGGGGTTTCTTTGCTCTTCACCAATATAAGACATTTCAGGCATTGAAATTGGATTCTGGAGAGGAAGCTGCTTCCAGACATTAAAGAATAATGGTTTTGTTGCTGAGAGATTTAGGTTTTGTTTGGGATGGCTTTCTTATTGCTTTGCAAAGCAGCTTTTTAGTATAAAAATTACAAATATTGTACTAAAAAGCTTCTTTAAGAAGCAGTAAGAAAGTCGTATTTGTTTGAGACAACTTTTTTACTGTTTTCTAAAGCAGCCTTTTAGTTAAAAAAATTTTGTACTAGAAAGCTGTTTTAGAAAGCAGTAAGAAAGTTGTCCCGAATGAAGTCTTTGTTTTAGGTTAATTAATTTTTGTTTTAATTTGTGTGCTTTATTTATAATTTAAGTTTGTATTTTACTGTTGTTGAGAAGTTATTATTTGCAGCTTGAATTAATAATTGATATTGTTGTTGCTTATTTATTGATTTGTGACATTATTTAGAACCAATTGAATTTTCACAAAAAGATTGAATAAATGTAATTTTTTTTAGTTGATAGCTTCTAATGAGATATATTTTTGAACCTTTTTAAATAAGCAAAAATAAATATATCTTTTTTCAATCAATAAATGTTCTAAAAAAGATTCAATTAAATTCTTTTATCATTTTTTTTAATTCTTTCAAATCAAAAGAAGTCTTAGGCTTTGGTTTCGCATATATGCAGTTTTTTTTTTTTAATAAAAGTTTTGAAGTTATTTTCTAAATAATAACTTATGCTCTATTTAAATTTTATTTTTTCCAATAAGCTAATAGAAATATTTAGAAGAGAAATACAATTGTTTTGAAAATAATAAAAATAAATTATAAATATGTAGAATATGTCTTTTAATAAATACAATGTTTTAAATATTAGACTGAATTGGCCAGGTCAATAGTGAATCCCAATTTTGTATCAAATCTAGATGAACCGGCCATTGCCGACGAACCGATGAATAGATCCTAATTCCCTTAAACCGACCAGTTCAAATTCTAAAATTTTTAAATGATTAAATTACTTATTAAAGCATTAAAAGGAAGGAGGAAGAAAAGGAAGAGAATGAAGAAAGCTCTCTTGCCATCAAACTCTTCTTCCGCCATCATCAGACTTCCACCCGGGACAGCCTACTGATGCCCGAGTTGTGAAAGTCAGTTTTCTTTGATTTCCTTCCAGGATCATCCAGGACGAAGTTGAGATCGTCCAGGACGATCAGTTCAAAAGCTGATGACTAAGAATTTCGTTCCAGGACGAAGTCAAATTTATCTGTACGAAATTTGTCCAGAGAGCAGGTCGTCTAGGAACGAATACATTTCGTTATGTACGAAATTTGTCCAGAGGGCAAATCGTCTCGGGATGAATTGGAATTGTCCGGGACGATCTGCATGAATATATATTGGATTGAGATATTTTGGAATCATTTGGAAGATAGAGAAAAAGCAGGAGAGAGAAAGATAAGGAAAGAGAAGAGGAAAGCTTGGTTTTGGAGCTCGCGGCGCGCTTTTCGTCCGTCGTCGCTGTTAGAAGATTTTTTTGTCTCGCAGTAAGGACTCTGAATCCTATTTTTGATTTCGAATATTTCGAGTTTTGGTATTTTTCTGCTCAGTTTTGTGTTTCTGTTACCGAAAAATGTGCATAACTTTGTATTGATGAAACTTTTACCGCGTAACTTTTGGTATGTTGTAGAAACGATGATTTTGCACGATTTGAGTATTTTCTGGAAAGTTTTCACCATATATTTTAAATTTTGCGAAGTTTTAATCGAATAACGAATTATCTGGATGTTGGAAATTATTGCTTCAGTACAATGAAAGTCTTGAAATTATGTTTTACAATGTCTGTAGTAATTTGATAATTTTCTGAAAATGTGCATTTTACAACGACTTATGTATGCTATACGATATTTTAAGGAGTTTTATATATTGAGCTAAATCATGTTTTACGGTTACAATGCATTGATGAGATAATGATGAATGTTGTTATATGATTGAAGCTATTGTTATAAAAAAAATAAAAAAAAAAATTGTTGTTATATTATTGTGATACTACTGTGTGCTGTGTGTGTGAAAGACAAGTAAAGATTGGTTGAACCGTTGGTTGGAGACTGATTGACCTTTACATGATGGTGGGCCGACGGGCTTTTCTTTAAAAAGAGTTTGATGTTATCCTCTACTGATCACGTGATTACTGAAGGAAGTTATAAGGAGATGATTACTGTGCCGACGGGCAAGGGTGACGACCCTAATTACTGAGCCAACAGATACAAGATACAAGATATTGATACAATACTGAAAAACACCTTAATAGCCAGTGCTTCTACTTGCTCTGTATGACTACTGTACTAAATTGCATGTTTAACAGTATTGTTACTACTACTGTACGGATTTATTGATACTAACAGATTTATCGTTATTGTACGGATTTAGTTACTGCACTGATTTACTATTAATGCATAATTTTACTATTATAGCATTACTTTTCATGTCACTGTTGTACTAATACTGATACAGACACTGATACTACTGATTCACTTTATTGATATAATGCACGTGATATACTGTGTAAATGACATATGATTCACTAAACACGTGATATAGATTAATGGATTGCATGTGATGCACTGAGCACGTGATATTGGATAATTGAATTACAAGTGTACGTTTTGATATGATTATACGGCATTGATTGATTTCGACTGTTTCAAATAATGTTATGAATTTATTTCATTGATTTGATTTCAACAGTTCGTGATAGTATTGATTTGACATTTTATACTGACTGATATTATTGAACCATTGATTTATCTTTATACGACTGATATTTGATAATATTGAAACGATGATTTATTGATTGATTTGATTGATACTACCGATACGAAGATTTTTTAACGTTTTAACTGTTTACGAAATTGACTGATGTTATAAATAGTGACGACTACTGTAGAGATTTGACATACGTACTAATTCATTGAGCTTTACAAACTTTTATACTGTTTAATGATTATTCTATTGTCGATTGAGGATTTTACTATTTATGTATTGATACTGTTTACGCATTGACTACCGTTTTTGTACTGATTATTATTTATACACTGATTACTGTTTATGCATTGATTTCTGATTCTGCATTGATTCAAATGATCATATGTAAGTGACTGCAATGATTTGACTGATTGATATGCATATTGTTTCCGTACCGTGCTATGATTTCAGTTGTAAGTTTTGGTGACCTGCTGGGTTTTTTTTAAGCTCATTATATGTGGTTAATATTTTCAGGTCAGGGCAAGGGAGCAGAAGATTAAGGTTGATCAGGAATCTTCAGGTTTTTTACCTTTTGTTATAGTGATTCTTTTTGTACTCATGACATGATAGATTACTTGTGATTGATGTGTAGATCCTGAGTATTGTAAATGTACTTTTGGGAATGAATGAAAATATTTACATGAAGTTTCGAATTATAGATTTTGTTAGACTGTTTAATACTGATTGATGACTATAGATAACTCTGATAAAAGATTGACTTACAGGATTGACTGAGTAATTATTCCAAGTTAGATCTTGGGGCGTCACACGAGTTTTACCCGAACGCCAATTGACATCAGAGTTTTGCCCGGCTACCGACTAACGCCATAGTTTTACTAGACGTCGAAGTTCCACCCATCGCCATACTCCTTTCCGTAACCGGACTTTCCACGGACTTCTACCCAGCGTCGGGCTTTCGCCCATCGTTGGATTTCTACCCATCACCATACTTCCGCCTTTCGCCGAACTTTTGTTGGACTTCTACCCGACGCCAAATTTCTACTCGTTGTCGGACTTTCGTTGGACTTCTACCCTACACCAAAGTTCCGCACGTCGTCGGATTTCTACCAGACACCAGACTGTTGTATGTCATCAAACTTATACCTTACGCCAAATTTTCTCCCATTATCGAACTTCCAACCTTAGTCGCCAGCCCTTATGATCTCATTCACTAGACAATAATGTTTTTGACTACTATCGTCCGTTGACCACGGTCCTTATGATATCCATAGCTATATTGTGGTCCTTTCGACCTTCGTCACCAAAAAATGACCTTTTTTTAACAATTACCGTCATTCGACTACGGTCTCTCTGACCATCGTCACCCGACTATGGTCTTTCCGACCTCCGTTGTCCACCAACAATGGTCCTTCCGACCAAACAAACACGTTAATAGTGATTCTTCATATTCCCACCATGCAATGCACTTCATATGATGTATATTTGCTATGTCAAGCAAAGGTCTTCCCCCTAAGGAAGGGCCTCATTTGTAATCAACTAGAAATACTAGTGGATTCATTCAAACTGGGCCATACCTCATGGTTTTTCCCCTATTAAGGGGTTTTCATGTAAATTGGTGTCTCTTATGAATGTTACATCATTTCTTTTATCTGATTGTATGCTAGATCTTCGTACAAAATTAAGACGCTAAACTTTTTATTTCTATATTGCTATGAATAATTCATGATGCAACAATGTTAATTAATATAAACTTTCACATATATTATAAGAGTACGACTCAAACACAAAATTAAAAAATTCTTAATTGATAGTTAAAGTTCTCAACTAATACATATTTTGATTATAAATTTTGACTATCAAATAAAAAATTTTGAGTTAGAAGTTTAAGTATACTATGTATATGATGCTTATGAGCTTGTTTTAATCGAAGGTAAAAAAAAAAAAAAAAAAAAAAAACGCTGCTAAACAGTAAACGCTATAAAAACTTCTTTGCATTCTGTCGTTGTGTCTTGCACCGGTCCGCGGCTAAAAAATGAGGCGGTATTCTCTTAGCCTCTGGATTCCTGCGTCGCGCCATCTCAAAACCCTTCCCTCCTACCCAAGCCCTTATTTTCTCCACCAACTTCATCGATCATCGCTGCCTGAAGTCTGTACTTCTCCTTATTCTTCGGCATCCCGCAGCTTTACAAACCCCTTTTCACTATTCTCCCGTGCTCTCACTTCTTCGAGTAGTCTATCTCCCTCTCTCTCCGCTCTTTCATTTTTGGCGGAAAAAAGTTTTTATGTTTGAAATCTGAGGAACTGTGGAAGAGGTTACACACTCAGATCCAGCTCAGCTCTTCATATCACCCGCAAACTGACGGGCAAACTGAAGTGATGAATCGAACATTGGGTAATCTATTGCGGTGTCTAGTACAAGACAATCCAAAAATCTTGGATGAATTACTTGGCCAGGCCGAATTCGCATTCAATTCCATGACAAACCGCTCTACTGGTATGTGCCCATTCAGTATAGTTTATACTAAAATGCCAAATACTGTCCTTGATGTTACAGTGCTACCCAAGTGTAAGAGCAAATCCGCGTCGGTGCTAGTAGACAATTATGCGGAATTTCTAGCCAACATCAGAGCGAAGATTCAAGCTGCTAATGACAAATACAAACTGTCGGCGGATGTGCATAGA